CAAGCCAAGGGATGATCAAAGGCCTACCTAAACCAGCACCATGTTCACAGTTGCCTACAGAAAGCTCACAAGCAAAACTAGAATGCAATTGCATCTTCTTGCTCCTCTTCCCAGCAACTGACAGTGCCTCTGGAGCTGAAAGGAATATATCCACCATAGCAAACAGCTATCAATAGCCATATCAGTCAGCACAAGCTTTCTGAACCACAACCAATGTTCTCTGGAGGCACAAAATTGGGACTTAAGATAGGAAGATCAATCTCATTTCCTTAAATATTTTGCATTTTTCGGTATTTATTTATTTATTTAAATATTCTAAATCCCTTTCTCCTTAAAAAGGACCCAAAGCAGCTTACAACAATTAAAAGACAGTATTTACGCTAGTATCAATGAATATACAACACTAAAAGGATCAATGAATACAATACAAAAAAATTACCTAACACCAAAATATATTCAATGCAGCAAACTACAACAGTCCATTGAAAAAACCCCATTCAGTAAGCCCTTCTGGTACAGAAGAGAAAACCTTGCCAGTATAGTATAGCAAGGACAAAATGAATGAAGAATGCATCATGTGATAAGTGACTTCTTAGAAAAAAAATAGAAATTTAACTAATTTATTTATAACTGATCTTTTTAAAATGAAAATGGTACATCCTCCCAACCATGTTTGTGTAGGATTATCTAATTTTGAAAATTACCAGTTTTGAAACACTACTGATAATCATTGTTGAAGGAACAGAGATGTCTGGGCCAGGGGTCGTCAACCTCCAGTCCGCGGCCCAGTGCCGGTCTGTGTGTTTGCTGGAACTCGGCCATGGACATGGATCTCCGCCCCCCGCACACACGTGCGGTAGGTGTGTCATGCTCAGATGGGGGGTGTTGTGCTCACGGCGCATGTGCATGACACACCCATCGTGTGAACGTGACGTGCCCCCGCCCCCTATGCATGGAGCTCACTCCACCCAGCCGGTCCAGGGCCCCAAAAAGTTGGGGACTGCTGGTTTAGGCCCTTGGTTCTTAACCTTGGGTTACTCAGGAGTTTTGGACTGCAACTCCCAGAAGCCTTCACTACCAACTGTGGTGGCTGGGGTTTCTGGGAAAAAGTTGGGAATGCTGGTTTATGCAACCTATCTCAAATCACTTCAATGTATCAGAACATTCTTCACAAGATATGAAAGTTGCTATTCAGGAGAAGAAAAATTACATAACAAGAATCCAGAGAGAATGTAATAATTATATACTGTAGTTATATGCTGTTATTTTCCTTCCCAACTAATCAGACCTACCTTTTCAGAACAATATTCAAAGGTAAGGTTTGTCATACTTTACATTATCACATGTTATTCCTCTATTGTCACCTGTAATAATCGTTGTTAGTTACAGAACCAAGCTTCAAAGGAACTGGATACCAAAGAAAGGGTTCTTCAAGGGAGGACGAGACTATAGAGCACATGTACTTCACCTGCCCACATTACGAGGTGGCACGTAAGGAGAGCATCACCCCATTGACCACAAAGTTCCTGGCCATTCAGAAAAAAATAGACTTTAGTTTCTTCTTTCTGATATAGATTCGAAGATCAATTTATCAAGTAGCCAGATTTTGTATGGTAATATTCAGGTCTCAGAAATTCCATGGTATCTAGATACTAGATTTTAAACAGTCTTTTGAATGCCAAATGTTTTTTTATGAAGTACCTGAAATTCTATAGTATCTAGATACTAGATTTTAAATTATATTTTAATATCAAATGTTTTTACAAGGTACCTGGAATTCTGGAAACTATAAAGGTCTATGTTTCTTCCCCCTGTGTGATTGGTCTAAGGACTGTAGCAATAAACTGTACTGTACTACCAAAGAGGGGTCTTAAATAATTAGTAAGTGTGAAATGCAAGCAAAGACCACTGTCCCTTTATCTTAGAGCTTTGTATGAAATGTTTTACCATGTAGTCTTTGTATTAGTACATGAAGTAGACATGTTCCACAAAAGCTTATATTAAAGTACAGCAGTTAGTCTTTATTGTGCTGCAATATCTTCTCTCTCGCTCTCTCTCTCTGCTTTTGTTCTGTTTTGTGTTTCTTGTTGAAATGTTTGCATGGACTAACATGGTTACAACTTCAGAAAGTCACAGTCCCTGTTAATCAGAAAGTCTGAGATTTCAAATCTGTGAATCCTGGCTCCACTACACCTTGTCTTCATGCTGTTGAAAAAATAACTGCAAAGGACTGAGCAGTGTGGTGTATAATGAGATTTACAAAGATTGCAATTAGGGGAGGAGAAAACTGGCAATGGCACATACTGAAATCTTTCAATTTATGTCTTTGTTTCTAAAATGTTCTGGGATTTTTCAAGGTGGCAAGCTGTACAAGTAGCGCCAAACATAATCATCCATTTCACAGGTCTAATTTGGATAGCACTTTGTGCTAATATGATACATCTGAAGGATCACAAGCCCAGTGAGACATGTTTATGCTGTTAATTCCAAATCAACTCACTCACTTGAAAAAAAAATCCCCAAGTTTATCTGGGAATGAAGCCATTTCAATTCTGTTCAAAGCTGCAGCCAAGTCAGGATGTTACTCTTCTCTATATTGTTTG